CCTGTGGTCTTGGGACCATGGTCACAGGCGACATCAAACTCAACTGGCATAACATGCTACACGAAAACATTATTTTACATTCTACTTTGGTGAGTAGCGACTAGGATCTTAAAAGCTTGCAAGTGGCCATCTAGATGCAACAATGGGTCTCTCCTCATTGAGAGCAAAGAAGAACAAAGAAAACCAAAGATGCATAGAAACAACTGGTCCAAGGGACTGGTACACCATGCGATCCTCAGCCTATACGACTATAAGACCAGGAGAACTAGATGGTGCCTGGCTATCACTGTCAACCACTTAGAGGGGAATCTATGTAGGAGATCCTGGATAGAGCGGAAGAACAATGTAGAACAAAACTCAAAATCATAAAAAAAAAAAAAAAAGGACAAGGTTTGCTGGTCTGATAGAGCCTGGTGAAACCCCTGAGACTATGGCCCCTAGCTGCTCTTCAGGTCTGGAACTGAATCTACTCCTGTGGCTTCCAGCCAAACAAAAGACAGGTATATGAGCTGAACATTTACATTAGGTAGATAAACTCCTTGAAGAGATCAATAATAGGAGAATACACGGGCTGTGTATGTACAGGGAGACAGCTTAGGGGGCAGGAGTATGTGGGATGTGGGAGGGAAGGACACGGGGAAGAGGTAACTATGAGGAGAAGTGGTAAGGGAGCTGTTGCATTGTGGGAAATTGCAGTCAATGTCATGAGACAAAGTATATATGAACTGCTGTATGGAAAATGAATTTGCTCTATAAACTTTCACCCAAATCACAATAAAAATAAAAATGAAAAAAAAAATGGAATTTATAGAATTGGGAATGAGAGCAGAGGCAGAAGGGATAGAAAACTCTATTTCTCATTTTGTCTCTATCTGATACTTGTTCCAGTTTAGGGAAATTCCTTTGCTCAGTTTCCTAAAGTTTTATCCCCTGTGTTTCTTTATGACAGGTCCCCTAGGAAAATAAGCTGATGGACTCATAACACTCTGAGAAAGGTAATCCACACAAATAGGTAGTGGAATTGCATTAGGTGAGCACTTGCGTATTTTGACATTTGACCCTTCCTGAAGTGTTTAAAGGGAATGACCTGCAAGTGTTCTGGGGCACGGAGAGGGGTTCTTCCATCTTTCCCCTCTTTCTCTTAGTGGCCAACTCCCTTCCAGACCAAGCCAGCTCAACAGTCCACTCCTTTGTGAAACTCTGCCCCTCCACCCAGGGTTTGCATCTCTATCAAAAGATTATCGGATTGCTGTTCTGGGCTTTAGGTGCCTTTCTTTTCTATTAGATGTGGACTCTCTTCAGCTTTGGTGCCCATCTCTCCAGGGCTTAGCACAGGTAAGTGCTTAGGTAATAATTACTGAATGAACAAATATTTCCACTTTGGAGCCCATACCTGGAGAGGGAATCTTATTTTAAAAAATGAGCATGAACAGAAAAGAAACAATTCTTTTTTAAAGATACTGACTATATTTAGAACACAATTTGTTCCTCAGAGTTATAAAATGCTTTGAGATTCACTTTCTCTATGTTGTTGTTATGTGCCGTCGAGTTGTTTTTGACTCATAGTGACCCTTCCTTGGGTTTCCAAGGCAGTATCACTACGGAAGTAGATTGCCCCATTTTCCTTCCCAGAAGTGGCTGGTGGGTTCGAACACAGCAATTTTAAACATCTATTCCAGGTGTACTGTGGTGATAACAAAGAACCATCTTGGCCTTCAAGTACTTCTTTTGAACTAACTTTCCAATCCCTTCAGGTAACATTCTCATCACATCTGCCCCTAAGAAAAACCTTTAGGGTTGTCTTGTTATCTCTGTTACTGAATCACCTGGTTTCTCATCTATGGACTTAAAACCTCTTACTCAGCCTTCGCTATCATATGTTTTTTCTTTATGTTGGACTTCAAATAATTTAGTATAAAACATATAGCAGGAACCTCCCCCTATTCTCTAATGACTTACTGGTCTACCACTTGTATTAGGTCTTATGTTAGCCACAAGCTTCTAGAGGACAAGGGCTGCAATCATGTAGTTTCTTTTGAAAGCATTTAGTTAAGCACCATGCTCTTATGGGCACTCAACAATCCTTTCTGATGATCATAATCAGACGCCACTCTATATACTGTAATAATGTCTCCTCCTCCTGCTTTACCCCTTCACTCCTCACCATCTGTTTTAAAATACTGGGAGCAACAAAAGGTTGAACTCTTCCTGGTCCCCACTTGTAACCATTTCCGTCCTCTTCTGCTCTCCACTTCACCCACATGAACCAACACCCTCCTTCTGGCATTTGGATGTCTTATACGCAATGCTGATACTTCTTCACAAAGTTCCCTATATCTTAATCTTCTCCAATTTTACAAATTCAGCAAGTATCTTTTCTTCAGTCTTCCAGAGACCATTCATGTGTATGTCTAGAATAAATGAATACTAGCCACAAAACCCCAAATACATCACTGACAACTGTCCCTCTCTACACTACAAAGAAAGTGCCCATCTCCTCACCCTGCTTGATTTTGCATCATAGAACTTATTGCCACCTGAAAAATTGTATGTTTAGTTATCCTTTTTTTCTGTTCACCCCTTCATGCTCCACCTGCCTGTCATCAAACATAACTCCATGTGTGTCAAGACTCGAGCATCTTTTCATTACTACATCCCCACTGCCTATATAGCAGGCATAGCTGGAGCTCAAGACATGAATGAATAAATGAATGGTGAAGGAATGAATAGTGAACATTTATATGTACCCTAAATCTTAAATCTATTAGATATACTACTCTGTGACAGTGCAGCTATACCTCTGTATTTTATCCATGCTAGGGTATATCCACCACTTGTCTGTTTGTTGTACTGTGGTGGCTTGGAGTTGCTGTGATGCTGGAAGCTATGTCACTGGTGTTTCAAGTATCAGCAGGATTACCCATGAAATATGACACTGGTCTTCTTTCAGCAGAGCTTCTAGACTAAGACAGACTAGGAAGAAAGACCTGGCAATCTACTCAAAGAGTTGGACCAGTGAAAACCTTATGAATAGCAGCCCCACACTGTATGATATAATCCCAGAGGATGAGCCCTGAAAGGCTAGAAGGCACTCAAAATATGACTGCGGAAGAGTGGCCACCTCAAAGTAGAGTAGACCTTAATGACGTGGATGGAGTAAAGCTTTTGGGACATTCCTTTGCTGATGTAGCACAACTCAAAATGAGAAGAAACAGCTGCAAACATCCATTAATAATCAGAACAAACAATGCACAAATTCTCAAACATAGCAACGACTGTGAGGATAGCACTGGACTAGGCGGAGTTTTGTTCTGTTGTACACAGGGTTGCTCTTGTGTCAAAACCAACTTGATGGCACCTGACAACAATAAGGGTATATCACTATCTGAGCCACACAAATCCAACCTTGTTGTGTGAAAGTTAAGGGACAACAACAGAAGACTGCTTAGAGTTATAAAACCTTAGTCTGGAAAGAGGCTTAGAGATCATACAGCCTAACCCACTTATTTTACAGATGAAGAAAATGAGCTCAGTGAGGGATAGTGACTTGTTCACGGCCACCTAGAAAACTAGCAGCAAAGACAAAACTGTAATCTAAGATTATCAATCTAGGATTTTTATTTCTACAACATGTAACATCTCAGTTGTTCTATACTACATCTGGCCATTTATTAAATACTCAACGACAATGATTAAAAATATGCAAACCAGAAAAAAAAAAACCAAACTCACTGCCGTCAAGAAATTATATAACAACAAGATCCCAGTTCCAAAAATCTAAAGCACTAGTTTCCCCCGCAACAGGCCAATTGAACAAGCCCTTTAGGATTTTGTCAGGAGACTCAGTGGTGAGCATCTATCCCTCGTCACCTGTCTACCATCATGTGGGCACTGCCAGTCTTTCTGCTGATGCATGATACCGTACTTCCTTTTAGATTCCCTTTTATAATGAAACAGGAGAATATGGTTTAAGAAACATTGAGCACTTTATTTTCACTTTCTCTCTACAGTACAGGTGAATGGAGTCTGAAGAGATACCTTTCAAAGGCAATTGCATTCATGCAATACAAAAACTGCAGAAGAAATACTTGATCAAAAAAAAAGGTGATAGAATTGTGATTGCAACTCCATGATCTTATTTAAAAAGAGTTCTTTGTTTATAAAAGTCCTTCTTTATCTGAATCAATGTAAGTGAGAAACAATTCTTGAAGCACTGATGAGTATCCAGACTCTACAGTATTGTAATTCAAACTGAGCCAGCTGTCCTAATATAAATCTTATAGATTTCCTTATAGATCAATGCTTGTTTTACAGAAATTTTAGTGGAGAGTTCTGCTGGGGTTACATCTAGCACACTAAGATAAAGTCCATTGTAAATACAGCTGTAAAGAGCAAAGATATTACAATTGTGCTAAACACATATTCCCCATTGCCCTCCTCTCCCAAGGTCTTATCAACACACACACACACAATATGACTATATTGGAATAAAATGGCTTTTTCCTTTAAAAAGAAAAAAAAAAACAGAACTTACATATCCAAATGAGCAGGATAGTACCCTTTAATATAATCATCTTTGGAACTTACATATGCATCCCAACAAGGCTATTGTTATGCAGAATTTTTCAGGAACCCCTCTTTTAGAACACAGGTCTATGTGTGTCTACCACATTTAATATGATAAGGACTGCCAGGGAACAAGTTGCAGATTCTTAAAGATTTGGATTTCCTTGGTCTTGGATAGGGTTGAAGAATCTGTTTTTTTAACAAGCATACTAGATGCTTATGCAGGTGATTTATGAGATATAATGCTTTAGAATAACCTTCAGACTCTGTAAGCCACGCAAGGATATCAAAATAAAGACTCTGCAGTCAAACTCTGTGTATACATATGTGATATACTGGAAGTTTAATTTTTTTTTCACTGTTCATTCTTTCTGATAGAACACATCAGTACACATATACATGGAAGCATCTATTGAAAAACAAAATCAACATACCTCCATGAAAGAGATTCCTAAGCTCCAGACGTCAGAATGGATTCCATACTGCTCCCCTGAAATTCTTTCAGGCTGTAAGAAGACAAAAGGGAATTTTTGAGTGGATGCAAGCTACTCCAGGAAATACATACACTGAATATGAGTTCAGTTAAGGCAGGGAGCCACCAGCATTTGTGTAGCATTTTATGGATAGCAAAACAAGTTTGTATGCACATGTGTATATCTGAGTGTGAGACGTATAATTTCACTGAATCCTCACAAAGTCCCTATTTTACAGATTTAAAAAATGGAGATTCAGAGGAGTGAGTAACTTAGGCAGGGTCCTAGGATAGAAACTGAGCTGAGACTTGAATCCTGGTCTTGTCCCTGTAAGAACAGTAATCTTAGTTGTGGTGGTGACAAATGATACATTATATAACATTACCACTTACTAGTATTTTGATAGGTGGGTCTGGAGCACCGGAGTTTTTTCTTTCTTTAATTTTTGTTGTGATTTGGGTGAAAGTTCACAGAGCACATTCATTTTCCATACAGCATCTCCTACACATTTTGTTTAATAACATTGACTGCAATTCCCCACAATGTAACAGCTCTCTTCCCACTTCCTACCCATAGTTACCTCTTCCTGTGTACTTCCCTCCCATGCACTCCTGCACTGCCCTTCTGTTCTCTCACAATTTATCCAGTAGCACCAAAGTTTCTTTAATTTCTAGTTTTTCAACTTTTTATTTGGGAAGAATTTTAAACTTACAGGAAAGTTGAAAAAGTAGGACAAAGACATCTCTATTCCCTTCATCCAGATTCACTTACTGTTAATATTTTATTCCAGTTATCAAGGTGGTTTTTTTCCCCCCAGACTGTCCATTTTTCTGGTATATCTTATTGTTAGTAATATGTACTATATGCAACGTTGCAATGCATAAATTGATAATGTTATCATCCTCAGATGTTCATTTATAGATGCTCAGTTTTATGATTACTGTTCAAAACATTGCCATACAGCAGGCTATGGCCTGGTTCACACTGAAGTGGGCACTGGTATTGGGAGTCATAAGGAACAGAAAGTTGGGCAATGCTCAACTCTAACCACATACGACAACTGAACTGCACACACACCTGACAGCTGTTAACTCCAACTTCATTGTTACAATATTTATGTCAACTTCATTATAGATCAGGTCTACAGAGTGATCTTTTTTAAATTTTCTTTATTTTGTTGTTGTTGTTGAGAATATACACAGCAAAACAAACACCAATTCAATAGTTTCTACAGTTACAATTTAGTGACCTTGGTTACATTTGAGTTGTGCGACCATTCTTGCCTTCCTTTTTTGAGTTGCTCCATTTTCATTAACATAAACCCACTCCCCCCTCACGGTTTCTATCTAACCTTTTGAGTTGCTGTTGTCAATTTGATTCCATATAGATAGTTCTTAAAAAAAAAAAAAAAAAAAGCATAATGCTCAAGGCAGACCTTTTTTTCTTTTTAACTAGTTAAGCTCAGGGTTTCTTTTGACATGAACTAAGGAATAGTTTGAAAGGTCCATTTGGGACTGTTGGATATGTACCATTCAACTTGTATACCAAACACTTGGTCTAGAAAGCCATTACATGCAGTTCTCTATTTCAAGAGGAATAATTTTTATACTGTGTGGGTGCTTCCTGGTCTGTCTACCCTCCAGGATTTGACATTGAGTAGGGTACTTCACGGAAGTCCTTTGAATGAATATATGAACAAGTAAATGAAAAAACCAAAGTCTCAGGGAGGTAGAATGGTTGCCCAAGGTTGTAGGGCTAGTTATAGAGGGGATGGGATCCATAACCCACACCTCTTGGCCCTCAGAACAGCATTCTATTCTCTGCACCACTGTTACAGTTCCTAGCACCTATCAGAGCAACTACCGTTCAAGAGCTCCCATGGGAGCCTTTAGAAGTAAACAGGGATGGGGCAGCCTGGTCCACTGCAGATATATATGCCACTGATCAGCAAGGGATACACCAGGGATGTGGGATATATGGATGGTCTCACTCTTAGATAAGTGGGAAGGATCTTAAGGGCAGGGGCACAATGTGGTATCTCGGACGCAGGTGTAGTTGGGTCCCAGAGCTTTGTAATCTTCCTTTCATGCCCATCCAGCATGGCACCTTAGTATACTTGCTGCCTTCTCCTGGGACCATTTCCCATAAAATTAAATAAAGTCTTGTCCTGAAGTAGCAGGACGGATTACCTTATTTCCTTTCCGTTATTTATTTATTTTGCAAACCCTTTCCTACCAAGAATAATTCTTTCCAAAGCTAAGTGTCATGGGACCATTTCTCCAAGTTACTAATAGACATGGTTATTCCAATCCCTCACTATTTTTTGTTTTATGTTCTGATCTCTGACATTATTTAATCAAGTTTCTTACTCACACATGAGTGAACTCATTTTTCAATTACTGATAGTTCAATAGGTATTAGGATGCCTTCATATGGAGCTAGCCGGCCATTACAGGAGTAACTTGTCATCATAGTCATGGTCATCATTGTCATGGTAATCATCACCATCAATACTACTGTTCACATTTATTGAAGGATTTAATGTGCGAGTCATTGTTTTAAGTACTTTTCATGCATATCTCATTTTAGTTCATAAACATTTCTATTGGATTGGTACTATTATCATCCCCAATTAACACAATAAGAAAATGAGACATCAAGGGGTTTAGTTTGCACTGATAACCAAGACTCAGAACACTTACTAATGAAGATCAGACTTACACCTCAACATAAAGAAAACAAAATCCTCACAACCAGACCAATAAGCAACGTCATGATAAACAGGGAAAAGACTGAAGTTGTCAAGGATTTCAACAGTCGAGAAATCAAATGACATATTGCACTGGGCATATCTTACAAAAGACCTCTTTACAATGTTAAAAAACAAGGATGTCACTTTGAGAACTAAGGTGTGCCTGACCAAACCCATGGTATTTTCAATTGCCTCATATACATAGGAAAACCAGACGTTGAATAAGGAAGATCAAAAAAGAATTAAGCCCTTTGAATTATGATGTTGGTAAAGAATATTAAATATACAATGGACTGCCAGAAGAATGAACAAATCTGTCTTGGAATTGTGCACAGCCAGAATGCTCTTTAGAAATGAGGATGGTGAGACTTTGTCTCATGTACTCTGGACATGTTATTTGGAAGGATTAGTCCCTGGAGAAGGACATCATGCTCAGTAAAGTTAAGGGTCAGCAAAAAAGAAGAAGACCCTCAATGAGATGCATTGACACAGTAGCTGCAACAATGGGCTCAAGCATGGCAATGATTGTTGAGAATGGTGTAGGACTGGGTAGTGTTTCATTGTTGTACACAAGGTCTCCATGAGGTGGAACCAACTTAAGGTCATATAACAACAATATATTATGTTGCATCCACTAGGTGAGAATGACACTAATAATCATTTGATGACCACCTAGTATATGTCAGGCAGTTCATAACAACCTTGTAAACAATGACTTAATTTTGTAGATGTAAAAACTGAAGCTTCTTAAGGTTAAGTGATTTTACCCAAGTCTAGAGCTCTGGTAGCATAGTGCCTAAGGTACTTGATTGCTAACCAGAAGGCTAGCAGTTCAAATCCACCACCACTCCTCGGAAGGAAGACGGGGCAATCTACTTCCATAGTGATACTGCCTTGGAAACCCAAGGAGGGATCGCTATGAGTCAGGTCCGACTCGATGGCACATAACAACAACAGAGCTATTGATTAGCATCAAGTGTATTGTCTAGTAGCAGAGGCAGGATTCAAACCCACGTATGTCTAGTTAAAAATCAGCGTTCTTTCCAGTGTGTCAAACTACTCCCAGAAACAGAAGTCAGAAGACCTAAGCACTAGTTGTAATCTAGTCAGCATTTTTCAAAATGAGGTCTTTAGACTACCCATTGTACAACTGCCTGAGGTGTTTATCACAAATGAAGCTCCTGAATCATAATCTCTGGGGATCTTCATTTTATAAAATAATTTATATGGGTGATTTTTTTGGTACACACAAGTTTAAGAAATAAGAATACATTCAAAGCTCCAATCATTGAACTTGTCTGTGTTCCCTAGAGGGGCAATGACCTTTTAGGTATCCCTGCCTCCTTCTTCTCTGCTTAGCAAATGGGTTCCTTACGACTCTGTTCAAGGGCCACCTTGTTTTGTGAAACCTCCCTCTATTCCTCAGCAGAACTAAGAATTCTTGCCAATGTACTTCATTAAAATGTTGTTCATATCTTTAATATTAATTTATCCACTGTGTTGCAATCACTCATTTTCCAGTCTGCTTGGTAGAGTAGGAGAATGTTTTTGTTTTACTCCTTTCATACCTAGTTCCACACCAGGCCCATATCTAGTGTGTAATCAATGGCTGGTGACTGAAGGGATGCAATACATGTGTATGGCACATTTGCTTTTAAGCATGAACTAATAATTATGTTCCTTGGAGTGTGATATCTATTAATATAATTTTTCCATGTATTATTGTTATTCATATTCATTAAGAACTTCTAGCAAACATGAAGATCCTAAAGTCCTCTAGACTTGTTGAAGAAAAAAACCATAACAAAATGTCTTCTTTATCCCTTTTTTCTTTTTTGTCTCTCTTTTTCATTCTACTGATAGTTATCAATATGTGTCACTTCATCCATAGTATAGCAAAAACTGCCAAACAAACAGAAGTGTAATCTACACACAAAATATTTTGGCAGTCCTGACAATAACATTAAATACATTCATTACATTGCCCACTGAACAACCAAAACAAACAAACTGCAATCAGAAAAAAACACCCCCCCCCAAAAAAAACCCCAGAAAAATTAAATTAAAAACTGAAAACATTTAAAAAGTGATAATGTTCACAGACATCAGGTGGCAAAATAAGAGAACTCCTTAGGGACAAGATACTGACAACCGCTTACTGTAGAAAATTACTGTTGTGACCCAGTACTTGAGAAAGAATGCTTGGCAAAAGCAGGTGGCAAGCTCCATGGGTCTATCCTGAAGAATTCTTAAGGTAGATTGAGACTGGGAAATGTGCCCA